TATTGAAACTGAGAGACAATTCATTATAGCCCAGGTGTTAGACATTTAATATTAAGTCCTGTTTTATTCAAGGGGAAGCTTGCAAGGGTAGCATAAGACCTCCAGTGTTGCTGAACCTCTGCCTGTGATATTTTTTGTCTTCCACTCCATGACCGTGGTCCTACAACTTCAGCAGCAGTGATGAATGCTGGACATTTTAGATTCTGGACAGGGTGCTCTCTCTTTTCCTTGAGACTTTGAAAGACACGTGAAAACCATGCCTTTCTTTTATGCTCTGCATTGCTTAGCAGAGGGCAGTTTAGAGCTAGCTAAGAGTTCTATAGTGTGGCTCATCATTGTCTCACAGCTCCTGCTCTTCAAGGGTTCCTTGCTAGGATTTAAAGTGTGTAAATGTCCTTTCTTCTCTGTCAAAAACCATCTCTCCATCTTGGTTGCATAAAGTACTCTAAAGTGTTGGGAAATCAGACATCCAAAAAACAAAAGGAAAAAACACAGATAAATTAACACTTATGGCAAAAGACACTTTATTATAATTGGTTCCAGATAAGCTTCAGTTGTCTAATTAAGCAGTTCTGTGATTTAAAAACCATGTTCTGGGTCTGGGAAGGAGATGTGTTTGGCAACACAAGTGATCCTCATTATGATGGTAATACGCTATGTCTTGACTGTGGAGGAAAATACACAAGTTTATAGTTGATAAAGTTATATAGAAAACTAAATACTTAAATTTGAATACCTATAAGACTTGGGAAAATCTGAGTAAGATGGAGCATTTGAACCAAGGTCAATATTCTTGCAGTGATATTGTATGAGAGTCTGCAAGATGTTACTATTGAGGGAAATTGGGTAAGTGGTACACAGGATATCACTGTATTATTTTTTAAATCACATGTGAATCTACAATGACCTCAAAATAAAAAATTTAATTGTTCTATTAATTATGTATTCCATTTCCCAGAAAGATGAAATACCATGAGACATATAAGCAAACACCCATGCTCACAAGGTAGTCCAGACCAACACTGAGCATGTGTACGTTTTTGCTACCAATTGGGATGAGACAATTTTATGTTTGGATTGTGGACTGAGTCTTAGGTATCATAGAGTATAGTCACCTTCTTTAGATCTTGTACAAACAGGAAGATCCTTATTCCATCAGAATTTTTCTATACTAGTGAATGTAAATATTTAACAAATAATAAAAAGGATCTGAAGATGTATAATTCTGTACTTGTAATGGTTTTTATACTGAAGTGCTAAAATGTCTCAAAGAAAAAGTTTAAGAGGGCAAAATCCAAATCTATATTAAGGACTTGGAGGAAACACATTGAATGTTTATTTGTTCTTGAACTCTGTTTTCCATAATATACCTTTTTAGTAATGGTGTCTTATTCTTGAGTAATAGCAGAAACTTACTTCTACTGTAGATAAACATTTATAGATGTCAGCTTATCTGCTTTTATAATCACACTGTAAATCTCTCACTGATTCAAAATTATTGAATATGGATTTTTTTGTCTTTTTGAGACAGGATTTCACTACACAGTTCAGGCTGGCCTTGAACTCACTTTCTAGCCCACGCTGGCCAGACTTGCAGCAGTCCTCCTGCCTCAGTCTTCCCAGTGCTGAGATTAGCTTCATGCACCATCACGCCCGACCTGAGTATAAAATATTTTATTAACACAATCTAGTTATTGAGATTTGTGCGGCTGTATAAAATACAGCAATTATCAATTTCAAAGAATTCATAGTCAGTAAAATATACTTAATTCAATCAACTCTAGTTCAATATGATAAAAAAGTATATATGTATGTTTAATTTTGCATTATCTCCACGATCTAGCAGGGTTCAGAAATATAATAAATGTATCTCATTATTATTGTGAATACAAATAACTGATAAATTGGTGATATGGAAAATTATAGTATTCTCAGCATATAAACTTGACATCACATTTTCTTATCAGCTGTCATTTTTTCTAACATTGGATGACTACAAAATTAAATTTTCTGATTGATAAGATTTTCAAATTTCCTCATTAGATAAGAACATTTCTACCAATAAAATGCAAGGTCCTCGTTTCTGAAGTGGTTCAGATTTACACAATTTCAGAAATAAAGAACATTGAGCTTCACCTCTTTTATGTTCAATGGATAAAGTGTCTATGACCATTTACCTAACAGTGTAAAAGCAATGAAGTGCTGACTCTAATTTGTTATTTAAAAATACAGATAAATCATGTCAAGGAGTCCATTCTATAGGCAAGCATTTAACATCATACATACTAAGGTTAGTCTGTTGGCTAAGAAACGGAGGTAATTCCCACAGGGAAGAGAAGAGAAACACTGTCTATGAGGGCCACCTATAAAACTTTATAGTATAACTTTTATCTTGTTTAGAAAAATTTTCTTTGTTCATTTTGCATAAGAACCCTGGTGGTTAGAATTACAAATCCTCTTGAAATTGTGTTCATTCACTTCACCAAATGTCTATATCAAAAAGTATGCTGTACCAGTGGATACCGTATAGACTTAAACCCAGAGGCACTAGTGCAACACAGTGGCACATCTCTGTAATCCCAGTCACTCAGCAGGCTGAGGCAGGAAGATCTCAAGACTAAGGCTAGTCTGGGATATGAGACTGTCCCAACACTGCTTTAAGGTGTTGAAGAATTAGCTCAGTGCAAAGACCCTGAGTTCAGTCCCTCACATCACCACTAAAACAAAACAAATACAAAAAAATAAGCAGCAGCAAAAGCCCAAAGCAGAGGCATTCGACAGTTTAGCGAATCTCCAATATATATCCTCTTTGTATGAATCACAAAAACCTGGAGAAATACGTGAAGTATAGCACTTACAACGAGTAACAAGAGTCTCTTAATTTTGCTAGCATTCTATGCTCAGTGATTTTTTTCATGGTTCACTGAGATTTCTACTCCACAAACTTTGTGACATGCTCAACTTTGGAAAATCCACTCTGTTGACTTTCAAGTACTCACAAAATAACTCACTTATTCAACAAAAATACATGGGTAATGAGAAACAAGTTTTTTCCTGAGAAATTCATACTGTTACATTAACATTCATTCTTTTAAAAAAGCTATTGTCGTTAGTATTGTAGGAAAATTATTTTACTATCACCATTTTACCTAACAGTGTAAAAGCAATGACGTGCTGACTCTAATTTGTTATTTAAAAATACATCAATATGCCACTTTACATATATTTTCAGGTTAATTCTAGTGGTTCTTTAAAAACATACACCTACTGAGGCAATGCACCTATTCTGTTCCCCGGGGCTGTAGAACAAACCCTTTGTTTAATGAATCGTAGGTGTAGGAGATCAGGGAATGTTCAGGGTTGGGAGAGTACTTGATTTGTTTTCACCTTTTGCAGTGCTGGGTACTGAACCAGAGCCTTTGCACTGAGCAATATGCTCAGTCCTTTTGAATGTTAAGTCATGGTCCTTCTCCATCGCCTGGACAAGTCTCAAATTTGTGATCTCCAGCCTCAGCCTCCCAGCATAATAAGCTTATAGGTGTGCACCATCATGCCCAGCCCTGATCTAGCTTTAAGGTCTACTATGACTTCAATGTGATTTGTCTCCCAAAGTTTTGGGGCTTGGTCCTTGCTGTGATGGTGGCAACTTTCAAGGGTACGGCTTAGTGAGAGGCCTTTGGTCATGGGGTACACCCTTGGAAGGAAGGTGGGGCCTTGGTCTCACTCTGGCTTCTTGTTTTTAGTAATGACTTCTATTTCACTGTTGCCCTCATGCCATTTCTAACCTCCATAAAGTCACACAGCCATGGGAGTGGGGGTGGGTTCCAAGGTTCTATGCCATACTATTTGGACTTTGAGCATCTAATATTGAGCTAAAAAACCTTTTTTTCTTATCGTTAGCCTGCCTCTAGGAGCTCAACACAGTAATGAAAAACAGACTAACAGGACATCTTTGTTGGCAAAATCACTCATTGCCATGTTTGCCTCCTGGCACGTGGTGTAGTAGTATCAGTAGTGATTCTTCTATTGTAATCCTCTTCGATTGTGAAAGGATGAAGTCACACTTTCAGCTCACCAAAACCCAGAGCAGGCCAATGTTTTAAGATTTTTGACCCAGCACTTAAAACCTAGTGCATGAGGTCCCAATAGGGTCTCAGTGTATGCATAGCTTTTCAGAGTTAACGACTTATCAGGCACACTGTAGGAAATATTGTATCAGATAACCTTACACTTTTGACTCTATGATTATTGTCTTTGAAAGTCGCTCATTAATAAGAAGCCCTACCTACTCCCTTTGACTAAAGTTTGTGTAGAACATAGCATTCCAGAGCCTGCAAAAGTAAATCAATAAATCAGCAGCTATTTGTTCTGGGCCTTGAAAATATTCATCAACCAAAATTTCCCAGAAAGGAGAAAACTTTCTTCTCTTTGGTGATGACACACTGTTAACTAGTTCATCAATGCGAGCATAATATCTTTAAATCCTTTTTGAGAAATGTTGAGGCGAAAAATGCATATGGACCCTACATGCCTAGTTTATTGGGTATCTTGCTCTGCTGTTTTGTTTGCCTGTTTGATCTACCCTGCAGTAAAACATTGACTTTCTGTCCTTTTTCTTGTTACTTTTCCACTTTCACACTCCCTTGTTACAGATCGCACAACTAGTCTCACCTAAAAGAAGCTGAGCTTTGGCTGACCCTGACCTCATCATGTTCCTGCCTTAGCCTCCCAAATGCCTGGATTACAAGCATGTAGTACCATGCCCAGTGCTAAAAGGTATTTCTTGATACAGATAAAAGTAAATTGTTCTAAAAGTTATCAGGCTAAAATTAAAGCTTTAAAGTTAGAATAAAATTTTGTGGTTTCATATAAAATTATTGTCTTTTCCCAAAAAATGCTTCGGATGCCAAATGGAGAAATAAGAACTGAGTACAATTTTCATGTAACTGGGAAGATCACAATTCCATGCTCTCTGGGTAGGATGTGACACACATTCCACATACCTGTGCAAAATCTTTATTTAAGCAACAATCAAAATACAGGATGGATTGCATGTGTTTTTGTTTTTTTTTGTTACAGCAATGTCAACTTATATATTAGTCATTTGTTTACATTTTTAAATTATTTTTAGAAAGTGAACATTATACAGTTCACCAAATCAATAGATTGACATTTTGGCCCAGATACACTTTCATCATATTTTGCAGTTTAACAAAGGATATTAAGAACTACTGAAATATAGGAGACCAAACATAAATATACACATCTTTGACCCTAACTCACTGTTAGTGGGTCTGTGATGTCAAAAAGATACACATGGAGACACTTATGATTGGTTAAATAAAAATAATTTATGCAGGATATTCTTAGAACTATTTACTATTTTTATATTCTCTAGCTTTGATTTTGATTGTAGTATTTTTAGTATTATCCCCTTTATAAATTCCATCTCTAAAAAAATCTTGTAAGGAGTATCATCATCTTTACATAACATTTCCCTCTGTACCAGAAAAAACAAAAACAAAAACAAAAACATAGTCCTTTGGAAAATACAAAAAGCAATTCATTCTATTTGATTATTTTCTTCACAATTGATTTGTTTAATCCAAACCTGTTAACCATTAAAGAAACCATACAAAAGTTATTAGGAAAATGAACTTTGTTATCTACTGAAGAGTATTTAATTGAATAGCTCCATGTAAAATTGACCAGTCTCTTGAAAATTAAAGGTACTCAAAATATACGTGTGACTATGCACTAAGGTTTGGTAGATAATTAAAGAATACCAGCAAGCAAGAATGGAAACAGGAATTACTTTAGAAACTGCCAAAGGACTGTGGGAAGATAGGTAAAGGAAAATAATCTGAATCGTGCTGAGAAATGAAGTATGTGAAACATTAATGCTTCATTTCTTACCAAAACACTTGAAGGAAATTCCCAGTTATCAGAACCATAGTGGCCACTGTTGTTAGAGTTCTAGCACTGACACAATGTATACTCAAGTGATATAATTATAGGTAACTGATTTGCCTTCCTAAAATACTTCCTCCTTCCTAAAATACTTCTGGTGGCTAGGACGGTGTTTACATAGTCAAGCTGATCTGTGTTGGATATAGATGTGTAGTGTGTGTTGCTTCAAAAACATACAAATATTCTGTGTGCATTACATTTTCTCCATGTGCCCAGAGCCAAGCAGACTGTACATCAACAGTGAGTAACAATCCAAGCAGTACATTGAAAACATGTTATAGGCTGTTAAAATGATACATAGCCATAGTCAAATTCATCCTCTCTTCTGTCAAGTTGTTTTCTTGTTTTTTCACATTTTCCCTTCAAAAGCAAGTCTAAGCAGCATGGACTTGTACAATTAAAAAATGAAACAAAAGAGTTAAAGAAAGGAAACAGATTTTTGAATCTATTGTGTGGGATGTCAGGCCTTTTAGCCTTAACTGTTACAAAGCAATGCTCATAAGCATCCAAGATATTCTGGATATAATGACATGGCACAATACTGCTTAAGATAGCTAAGAACATTCATATTTTAGAGCAGTTTCTTTATGTCATATATTACATATATTACATTTGGTTCCTAGAGATTTTAGTCAAGTATTGGTATTTTTTTATCCAGTATGATATACAAAAAGATGAGAATAGCAGATGTGTCCTAAAGATATGAAAATATAATTTCTAAAACAAAAACATTATAAATTACATAGATTTTCCATATAAAATTCTCTTTTATCCCACATTTAGAATAAATACCATTCAAGGTTATAGATAATCTAATGAATTAAATATGCACAATATGAATCATTTTAATAATTTCAAGAAAAAAATTGCTAGCAGTATGACTGGGATCACTCAGGAAACAAAATTTTAAGAATGACTACATATGCCCCGAAGGACATGGTTTGGGATTTAGCATTAAACTTTTAAAAACTGCCCAAATGAGCTCAATATACATGAATGCGTGTACACAAACACACAGCCACAGTTCTATGAACTTCTAAGAAGATAAACAGTTCACTTTAGTTTTGAAAAATTGCCTGAAAATCATGAGGTCTTCTACATTTCACATTCTAGCAGGAGGGGCTCTCTCATTTTATAAAGAAGCTGTAGTATGGATAGGAAGAATTTCTAGAAGGAAGAATTCCCAGTACAAGCCAAGCTCCCTCTATAGGTTGGCTATTATTATATCAAAAGCATTCTGATGTCTTAAAGAGTTTTAAAAATCTACATGATCTCTATCTAAAGAAGCAAAGCCAGTCTGGATACATTCTTTGGTCACATATTTTAGCTCTTGCTTTATGTGAAATCAACCCAGTTTTAGTTTATTGTCCCGAGTCAATCTCTACATGGAATGGATGCTTTCTGTAGTTTCTACGTGGAAATCTGCACAGGGTTTGGGTGGGAAGAGAACTGAATAGAACACAGAATCACAAAACAAGCTTTGTTAGTTCTTGTTGTTGCTTTGGGCAAAAAATCAAAGGTATGAATTTGTTAATGTCTGTAATAATTGGAAATTTTTTATAAGAACAAAAAATAGAACTTTTTGCAGGCTAAATACATAAAACCTGAGTCCAGAGAGCCCAACAGACGTCATGGTTTTTCTCACAGCTACTAATTTCTTAGATACTTGTAGCTGGACATCAACAATTAATTCCTTTTAAAAGGATGTCTGGTCAAAGTCCTTGTCTTGTCAGATTTGCCTATAAGTCCACTAAAGTGACTTCTCGTATATGTGCTGCTAAAACAAGCACTCAGTCATTTCTAAAGCCACGCCCACTGCCCTCCGTGACACAGCCAGACACATTTGCTATAAAGTTTGGATCATAAAAGCACCCAATATCATGTATCCATTTTTTTGCTTCTGATTTTGCTTGTCTTATGCAATAGAGGCTATCATGGACCACAAACTTTCCATAAAACTGTAATTGTTTGAGCCTGACAGGCTCCTATGGACCATTAAGTACTGCCTGCATATTTTAAAAATGAGAGAGATTAAGCCCCAGGTGGGAGCTGTGTGAGGTCACTTTGCCAGATGGTGACCAGAGGGGCAGTAACGATCTGGGTCATTTCTCTCATTACTAACATGGACTGTGTAACCTCTGACATGATAACCTATTAGGCTCACCACACTTGATGTGCTCATGACCCTGATAAGTACTTTAAAGTTATGGTCTCCCTTGCTTATAAATGAAAATGAATCAACACTCAATTATAGAGGTGGTCCTAATCATTTTTTGGAAAGAGGAGGAGCAGTTCCACAATTGATTTAAAATGCTATGATTTTTCAAAACTGACCCTTTCTGAGCAAGTAATGCAACATATAAATGTTTGGGGGGAACCAACAGATGAAAGCAAAAATCTGTACAGTCATTGTTGAAAAGAGCAATGATGTTAATGTTGGCTTTGTTCTCTGAGAAAGAGCTGGCACTCAGCACTCATTTAGTTTGCTCCCTCTCACGGATAGAGAAACTAAGGGCCAGAGTAGCCCAAAGCCCGACAGCTGGTGATTGGCACAGGCAGGTAAGTATTAAACCTCTGGATGACTGGGTTTAGTTTTGCCTTCTTTCCATAATATCATGCTGCCTTGCTGCATTTTTGTGGAACTGAATAATTCAGTAATTTTGACATAAAATTTGATGGCAAAATTCTCTGTGCACTACCCTGACTTTTTTACACTCCCTTTCAAAAGCTAACAAATCAGCAACATGGTTTACAAAACTGGCCTTGTTTATATTCTCCACAGACCCTTCTATTTGCTGCTTTGTATCAAGTGTGGCAGCAGATGGTGTCTGTAACTGCTTCTGGGAAGCCAATATCCTACAGCCTATAGGAATTCATTGAATGCCTGTCTTTGGAAACAATACATTTTCAGTCTTTGTTTAGTGGATGATGTTACTTAAATGCAAACAGCAGTTTTCATGAAGAGTGTGTACAATTATCCTTTTACAATCTCCCTCCACACCTTGGTTGAGCTTACTGAGAGGCTCTCAGAATTGGACAGGTAAACACATTTTTATTTCATTATTAAAGTGCTATTCTAGGGCAAAGGTTTTCTCAGTTTCACAACAGCAGCTTCACTGAAAATAAAAAAAAGAAAGCAATGTATGCCTGGGAAATGAAAAAAAATAATGAGCATAGTAACTACTTTGGAGCATTACAAATGACTTGTAGATATCAGTTCTGAAACTGGTGACTGATACCAAAGCCTCTGAGGTAAATGTTCTAGGGGGAAAATAAGGACAAAAGTGGAAAAGGGGATTCAATCAGAAAGAGCAAATTAGGGTTAATATAATAACTACGTTATAAAGAAACAGTGGAAGTAATTAAAGAAGAAAGTGCAGCAAACCCATATACGTGCATTTGCTATTATAGCAGACTTACAATTTTTAAAAGGAAAAGCAATACAGTATGCATTGGACAGGGCTCTTGAGCTCAGAATATCTTACAGTAGTGTACTCTTTACCAAAGCGGCATCACCAATGAAGGGATTTGGCAGATAATGGCCTCTAAAATTCATATCACAAGGACAGACACCTTCTGTCCAATATCAGTTCTGCACCCTGATGTTTCTTACATCCTTTTCTACTGAGGAGATGCCAGTCGCATAAGCTGCGCGCAGGTATGTTTCCTTTTCAAACAGCATTATTCCTACCTACGGGATGAGAGTCTCCTGGTAAGGCTTAGCGGCAAGTGCGTACTACATCTGTATTACAATGAGCAGCCCCTGGTTTTCTTGATATGCATAGCTTTTCGGAGTGAATATTAGACATGGCTTTCATAAATAATGCAGGTGTTTTTGTCGCATGTCACTGCTGGCTCCATCATTTCCAAGTGAGCTGGTGGAGGTCCTCGATCTGATACCTCTACAGGCGATGGCTCCTCAGAGGTCAGCTCCGTGGATGTTATGTCTGTAGAAGGCTCTGCAGTTTCTGGAGACTGACCAGCCGATGGTTCTGTCTCCTCTTCATCTTTGACTTCAAATTGTGCACCTTCTTTGTCATCCACGTGATCTTTTTTGGACTGGGGGTGAACAGACACCTTGATGGCGATCTGCTGAGGCTGTTCTTGCAGTGATGAGGCATCCGAGTCAGCTGTGGAAGAGTCACTTCGCTTCAGAGAGTTGGGGATGGTGTACACCTCATCCCTGTCTGCAGCCTCCTGGCCTTCTGGGGTATGCCTTACAAAATTCTGCCCCTGTTCCTCCAGCCCGACTACTTCCATGATTTCCTCCATGATAGTCCTGCAGTTCATGATGAGAGGAGGCAGAGGCACACTCCTCGCAAGCTCCTCAATATAACGGGCAAATTCCATGGTTTTGAACTGGGTGACTTTGGCAAGCTCTAGAGTTTTGGCTGAGGTGATGATGGGGATCCGCTTGGCAATCTCGAAGGCCTTTTGCAGCTTCTCGGCACCTTCTGTCCTAAAGAACTCATTGATGGCTTTCTCAGTCTTCTTCAGATGGCTGCTCATCATACACAAGCGGGTGATGTTGAGGACCATGACGATGGTGAAGGCCACGAGGCAGACCACCATGTAGTAGACGCCCATGTCTCCAGAGGTAAAGATGACTCTCAGGGTCACCGTGTTGTTCACAGCGCCATAGATGTTAGAGGCCACACACGTGTATTTACCTCGGTCTGAGAAGGACACCTTGGTGATGTTCAGGAGGCCACCGTCCAGCATTTGCCACTTTCCTGTCAGGAGGGAGAGAAGAAAATTCAGCTAAGGATGTTCAAGACCCTTTACTACAGACTTACACATTTCTAAAAAGATCCACCAAGAATGATGAACATTTACAAGCACTTATGTGTCAGTGGCACATATTAATTAATCTCCACTGTAACTCCGTGAAGTAATATTGATGCCAGCCCCACATCATCAGGTAAAGAACACTGAGGCGTGGCTAAGCAACCTTTCCAAAGCTACTTGTTTGGAAGTAATAAAACTAGAACGTGAACTGGTGCTTAAGAATGTACTTTTTTTTTTCTTCATATTTTCCATGCTGAGCACTGAACCCAGGGCCTCATCCATACCAGGCAAGTGCTCTACCCTTGAGCTACATTCCTAGTCACAAGGCTATACTCTTAACCACCAAACTGTATTGCATAACTTGCATCCTACCGGAAAATGGAGAAATAATCTGAAAAATGCTGCTCTTACGAAAGAACTCCTAGATTGCAGAATCTGATTTTCTAGCCTGTCTGCGAGCATGGCTCTCAGAATATAAAGTATTTTAGATTTAACATAACTTTTGTAGTGAATGAATTGCAATTGTTTACCTGGCTTCTCATAGTCGAGATTGGTGTTATGCTTTTATGACCTCTGGCTAATTAATACATAATTTATGTCATTAGTTTTGAGACTATAATGAATTATCTAAAGTTATAACCCAACAATGTGAAGAATAAGAGGCTTGGTATGAATGAGTATCAATTTGTTTTAGTCTGGCAAATAAATTAGGCCAATTGAGATGAAAATCAGTTTGACATGAAGGCAAATGCATTTGATGAATGTAATTCTTCTCCTCGCACTTTCCTGTCCTGGGAATGCGGTTCTGAATCCAGTGAAACTCTAGATTACTTCACAGCCTGTCTGTCTGTAGCTCAGAAGACCTCTGTAGAACATAGTGCTATGTTTGGTTTCAGGGTCTTGGCTCCAAGCCTTTCTAAAAATCCTACCTCCCTAGACTATCCCAATGTGTAAAGATACTCCGGCCAGGACTCCTGGGAGTTTTATAGAGCAGGCAGTTCTGTGTTTCTTGATAAAAGCACTTTAATTTCCTGAGACAATCAGAGAAGCCTCTCCCAAGTCCTGGGACAATGAAACATGTAGTTTTTTTTTTTTCTTTTTAAATTATTACTGCATTTTATTTTACTTGTTTCTTCCCCTTCTGGCAGTGGCTTTTACTTCTAATGAATAGCCTGATGTTCCCCACATGGGCATGCTTTAAAAGAAAAAAAATCTCCCAAGTACAGAACTGGGCAGGGTCACAGTATACTACGGAATGAGCAACAGAGGGCCTGCTTTATTCTAGTGCCTTCTGCATCAAGGGACAATCTTAAGGCTAATGTACCAATGAGTACCAGCCTGGGGCCTATGTTTCCTCACATTTACTGGCTGTGGTGAATTTGGCAGGAGGCCTCTCTGTAGATCCTGTCATATTACTTTGCCTTCTGAAAGAACATCTGTGCAGAAGGTTCCTTCCTTGTGTCCCTGAATAACCCTTTTCTAACAGTTTAACCAGTGTGTTTCCCCCATGAGTAGAAAAACTGGTCAGAAAGTTTAGTGACTTTTCAGTTTTTTATGAATGTGTATAAAGACAAAGCGAGCACCTGGCCTGTGATAGTCTCTCATTTTGGCGAGACATGAGTAAGGATTCCATTTCTGTCATTTCTTTAGCTGTAGTCTTATATGAACATACAATGTTCTGAGGCCAAGGTAACTGCATTATCAATTTATTCTCTTACAAGCTGCATGTTTTATAAAGTAGACTACAGTTGACATGGGGGAAAATACCCATGGCTGGTGGAAAGCTTATTTACTAAAGAAGGTATTAGATTCCACCGCTTAACTATCGAGATCATGACAAATACAGATACATATATTATGGTCCTAAAACAGTTATTATCAACACCCTGGTTAAATGACTAAAATCACAGTCCTTTGACAGCAATTTCCTGTTTCCATCTTGGACAAGGATATCAAAACATCTCTTTTACCAGATTCTTCTTTAAAAATTCATTATTTTATGGATTGAGGTCATATTAATGCCACTTAGAATTCTGCTCATGTGTAATATAGTGAAACAAGTATGTGACTTGGATTAAATATTCTACAGTGAGATCACAAAGCAATTCCAAGATGTTGGCAATCAAGATACCAATACCAGTGCGTGCATGCATACACACACACACACACACACACACACACACACACACACACTTTCTCTTAGCCTGTACATTCATTGCTTTCTAAGAATGAAAGTTCCAAAACTTCCTCTCCACCTCAGCTTCCCCTCTGATTAATGAAAAACATATTTCTGTATGGTCTACCAAAAACACAGAACTCTGAAAATTAGAAAGAGGCACAGATTTCATTTAGGGTCTTTAGTCACCAAGTAGGTCTAGCCTGAAACAGGACCTCCAGATATTACCTGCCCAGCTGGGAACATCTTGAGTACATTTGCTTCAGTCTATTAATACCTGGTCATGAATCTCATTCTGAAGGGGTCTTGACTTTGGCTGGCAGTAAGAAACTGAAAGATACAAAATCACCCACGATGACTGTCACAGGAAGTCTTCTGTGCTAAGCACAGGAGGCAGGTATACACAGTGCTGTTCCTGAGAAGTTTAAACTGTAATTGAGTGGGAATGTCAAAGCTTGGCTTTGAAATTTCATGAATCTGCATCACTTTGGTACAAATAAAAAGCTGAAGTGTTAGTAGCTGATGCCAAGTCAGTTCTACACGCAATGATTTTGAGGACAATAAACAAGGCAAATGTTCCACCGACTTTCTGGATGTAATTAAAGCATGTGTAAAGTGTTTCCCTCACATTTTATGCTACCTCCCTTGTTCATTCCATGCCTGGCTCAGATTATACCACCTCCTGGGCTTCCTTTCCTCCATACCGTCTTTCCAGTGGTGTCCTGGAAGATGATACACATGCCTGAGAATGTAGACTAAAATACTGACATGAATTATTGCAAAACTGGAGATCACAGTCTTCCCCCAGAAACTCCAGGCATGGGAGTCGTGTGTGAAAGTCTCCCACATGTGAATGTAAGTGCGGTGGTGACAATCTCTTCTTTGCAAAGAGAAAAGCTAACAGATGTTGTTTTTTGAGCTACACCGCACTGTGTGTGCTCCGCTGCACAACAAAGCTGACATTTTTAGAAGGGCAGTGATCTTTTTTATCTTGCTCCCTCATTCAGCCATCAGATATCATTGAACAAATTGTCTGTATACCAGGCTCCCCGCTAGATGATGAGAATACAAAGATGAGTAACATATGATTCCTGACTTCGAAAATCATGCAGTCCCAACAGAGAAACCAGATTCCAGCAGACAGCCCCAGTACTGTGGCAAGTTCAATGCTATGTGGGAGGGGTGGAAGAGGAAAGGGCTTCTTAGCAGAGGGCAGTACTAAGCCAGGCTGGGAGTGGGGTTCCAGGAAGGAAGAGAAATGGGAGTCAAAGATAAGGATTTATAAGGCCAGAGGGGGACGGTGGAGGAAAAGAACATGGAGTGGGAGGGACAGACGGACAAACAGACAGACTTTACAGATCCTGTACTACTGGAGCTGACAAACCATGCAGAAAACCAAGCAGAACTGCTGGAGACCAGGCTGGAAAGGAATCCAGAGCCAGACTTCAGGAGACTCAAGACTTGCAAGAGCTTTCTATTTCTCCTGTGGGAAAATGACTTTACCAGACTGATCCGCTTTAGTCCATGGCTTAGCGGACAAAGGCCCTCTGACTGGCTTCCTTTGCTTGAAAGGCTCTTCTTCCTCCCCAGGCCAAGTGCCCTTCCTGATACATTCTTAGGTTAGTTCAGACCTTACCTTGCATCTCACCTCATACTCTGACAAAGTTGTCTCTAGTCCCTGATCACATCAGGGAAGAGAACCTGAAAGTCTGGAAGCTGAGGTAGCTAAGCATGGGAATTTTAAAAATGAGGAAGCTGGAGAAAAGTGGAGAAAAGACTACCGGAACAAATGAGTGGCCACTTGAAAAATAAATAAACAAAGATATATGCCTATTTTATGCAATACATGCAAATAAATTCCAAGTACCCTGAATATACAAATGTAAAAGCATAAAGTTATTAATAGAGAACAAAAGATATTTTTATAACCTTGGGATAGGAAAGCTTTTTTTTTAAAGCACTGTAAGAATCTCAGAAGCTGTAAGGAAAATGCTAATGGATTAGAGTTCCACCCAAATTAAGAATTTCTGCATATAAAATGTCCTACTACAGAAGAATTGAAAGAAAATGATTGGGAAAAATTATAGGTATCTGACACAGAGATGCTTCATGACTACAAAATATAAAGAATCCCCATGAATTAAGCAAGTCAAGACAAAAAATGCAAAAGAAAAAGCAGGAAAAGGATTATGAATAGGTAATTCATAAAAACAATGAGTGCAAATGGCATCAAAGTATATAAAATCATTAGTGATTAAACAAATTATAATTTTAAAGGGATTAAAGCAATGTTTTAAAGCATACTTTTCACCTACTAGATTGCCAAAACAAAAGAGAGGCAGGCACTGATTACACGTTCTGTTTCTGAGAATGCGGGGAAAGGATATTCCCACAACATACACGCAGGCTAGAGTTTATTAGGTCAAATTCTTAGAAGTTATTTTAAAGGCAGCCATTAAAATTTAAAATGAATGTAACCTATGACTCATTTTTGAACTTTTTGAAATTCACAAAATCAGAAAAGCTTAGACTGATGGGGAAATATTAATGAATGCAAGGAAATCAAAGTAATGATAAAAACCTTTTCAGAATAATATTTCTCCCTGGGGACATGGTTCCAGGGTTTTCCTCTCCTTTCAGCTGTCTCTGGGAAAGGCCATAGCTTTGTCCCATTCCAGGAAGGTGACTAACCTGGGACCACTGTGCTCAGCATGGTGATCTGTACACATTAAGGAATAAGGTCACACCAATCTATAGACCATGTCAAGG